AGCAGAATATTCTGCCTGGGCTCCCTGGAGGGTGGAAGGGACTCCTGTAATGTGAGCATTCTTCCACTCCTTATCCAAATATTAGTCTCCCCCCACCCTCTCCTCTTCCATATATTTCTCCTTGGTGGAGAGGCCTACACATCATTCTGGAAGGTTTACTGTGGATGAGAAAAGAACTAGTTTCAGCATATTTGAACATGGTCTAGTTCTGATAGATTTCAGGTGTCTGTGAAACCCCTCAGGCCAAGAAGAGTCTATCAGTGATCTCTAAAAGGGGTAAACTAAACTAAAAGGCTTCACTTCTAGGAATGAAGGGACTGGACTCACTCAGCCCCTGTTTTAGCAGCCATGACAGGCTACAGAAAAGACACATAGGCCCCTGTGCCAAGGAAACTACAGATCCTCTGGCCTCCCAGAGCCTAGGGCCAAAACTGAACAAAAAGAAACATCAGGACCCCCCCCCCAGTCTCCTAGGTACTTGGTTCCTGGGAACTGTTTGGCCACAAAAGAAACTCCAGGGGAGACCAAACTCTCCCCTATTGTCTCCAGGATTTGGTATCTATGTACAACAGGCCACCTGCAAGTAACAAGACAAAGCCATAGAAACCACAGAATGTTCCCTCTCGGCACTGACCAATGATAATACCTGGTACATAGGTATTTCATGCCAAAATATGACTTTGAGAAATTTTCTTGATTGTTCCCAAATCTCAACCAATCAGAAACCAACCTGCACCTACTGATGTAATCCTGTAACTTCTGTCTTTAAAACCCAGCAGTAGACCGGGAACTTCACCCCTTCTGGATGCTGCCATGTCAGCTTGTTAGACAGGGTCCCTCCTTCGGTGTAGGATAAACTATTTAATAAAACCTCATTCATTTGCATCAGTGGTCTGTCTCCCTGGTCTCTTTGGGGATCCTTTCGACTCAGGAACTACATTTCTTTGTTCTGAACTTGACCAATCTACTTAACGGGAAATGGAAATTTAAGAGTTCTGTGAACCAGCACTGGAACATCAATGGTGTTAAGAAGGAAGGAAGGAGAGTTCCTACCAAGTGTGGGATTTTAGATACTCCACTTTTTAACTATCAAAAGCTGCTGTGACAGCTTGTCTGCATGAAGTTAATTGGTATGGAAATGTTTACTCTGAACATGAGTGGCATCATTCAGTGTGCTTGCCATGTACAATTGTGTGGTATATCTGTAATATGCTTTATGTTGTAATATGAAAAAAAAGTGTTTCATTTTACAAGAGACATATGCTGTAGCATTGTCAGGCTTAATTTGTACAGGTATCCCCATGATGGCCATAACTGCCAATAACTGTGTAATTACAATATGAGCCTCAGCCAGTAGTGACTCTTGTATTGAACCCATTTTTTAAGTTAAATCTACCACAAGACTCAATTTCCTTTTTACTGTGGTGCGAACTAGTCAGAGAAGGGTAGAGCCTGACTGCTTGTCAGCGTGTTGCCTACTAATGTGACCTAACTAGAGAAGACTACTAATCTATGTTTTCCTCGTGGTCTTGTCTTACTGCGGAATGCTGGACCTACTATTCCTTTGCCTGCTACATGATGACTGCTCAGTGTCTCTGCCAAGAAGAGACAGATTTCCTGTCTGTCCCTGTTTATATTCTGATTCTGCCCAGCTACACACATCTCTTCCTGCCTGTCTGTACAGACCTCCAGACCGCTATAGTTAGCTGGTGGCAGTTTCTGCTACATCACTTCCTGGAATCCCACGATGACTCATCTCTGCCTATACTTCCCAGAATCCTCCTTGTCTCCTATTCCTAACTATCATCCTGCCTAGCCAATCAGTGTTTCATTCATCAACCAATAAGACAAACATATACACAGAAAATATTCCCCATCAGCCCGCTAAAACTGAATTTTCAAAATTTTAACAGACTTTGTCTCCCATTATTGCTTAAGTCCAGAACCGTTTGTAGTTTTCAGAGAAATAAATCACGATCTCACCCCCAGTAAACATTCCCTGATGTCTGGTATTCACGGCAAGTATAATATCTGATAGGAAGTCTTCTCTAATTGGGTCACTTTAGCAGGCAACACACTGACAAACCCTCAAGCTCTACCCTTCTCTGACTAGTTTGCACCATAGTAAAATTGAAATTGAGTCTTGTGGTAGATTTAAGTTAAAAAATGGGTTCAATATATAGTAATTACACAGCTATTGGTAGTTAATAAAGAAGACAGAGCTAGCCAAATAAGAGATTTTGCCTAAGATGTCAGTTTCTGAGAAGAAGCAAAGAAATTTCTTCACTCTACAGAGAAGAATACTGGACATCATAAAAGGTAGTTTTTATTGGATAACATGAAAGTGTGACAAAAGAAAGAAAATATTGGAAAAAATAATGGAAGAAAACAGTTGAGATTAAAGAACAGAGCCTCACATTACACAGTGGGAGGATGGAGTAGAGAAATATACAGGGAATAAGGGAGGGATGACTATGAGGTGATCTGATGAAATTTGAGATTAGTTTAAGAATGAAACCACATGTGCAATCTCTAAATTCCACATTTATCCCTAAAGACAACACAGAGAAACGCCACTCCATAGGAGCATGCCAGGAGCAATGTGGACTTCACACCCCAAGTACAGAAATGCCTCTGTCCTTGGATGGTCCCCTTTACAAGGTGTAGCAAGAAACAGTGAGCTTTAGGGACACTGAAAATTCTATATTCATGTTCTTTTGGAAGGACAAACGCCAAGAGAAAAGTGAGCACACTTATGAGCTTACCCTATGCCACTGGGGCCTCTGGTTGGATTGTCTGAAGAACATTGCCTGCAGCCAGTCTCACATGCTCCAACAATTTCCATATCTTCCTATGGCCTTGTAGCAACATGCCATAGTAGACAATTTCTCAGGTGAAAAGATTCCCTCCAAATCATTTCTTTCAGAACATGTCACATGATTGTAAGGGGGAGGCAGGTGAATGAATACTCTGAACAGGCTGGGAGACGTGGCAGTATGACAGTCCTCCCACTCAGGAATGACCTAGGATAAGTAAATGAGAAACCAGATGCCTAAGGACAACTCTGTGTGACTGTTCAGGTGAGGGAAGCTAACCCAGCCATGCCAGTAATAGGACTGCAGCATAATCCTCCACCTTCCAGCCACTTTGCCCACTCTAACCCAATTGACAAAGTTGTCACTAAGCTTCTCCTACATTACTGTGTAACTCTAGAACCATCACTAGTTCTCAGAGAACTCAATCATGACCTCACCTCCAACATGTTTTTCCTTTATCTTGGATCAATGGATAGGAAAACATCTGATAGGGAGGACCCTCCGATTGGGTCTTATAAATTAGCACAAGCTGACACACAATGAGGTACTACCCTTGTACCGCTGCATTATACCATAGTAAAATGAACATTGAATCTTAGGAGTGACCTAAGATAACAGAAAAACCTGGATTCAAGAAGAGTCAGCACTGACTGCATACAGCATTATACTCTGCTTTCACAATAATAGAAATATCCACAATCTTCCCATGTCTCCTTGTACCTCATTGCTGTTCAAAAGTCATGTTGAATATTGACCAAAGCCATTCTATTCTTCAAAATTAGTATAGACTTCTAGAACAGGCAGTTGTACATAACAAACAGGGTAGATATTCTTAATACAATTACCTAGGGCCACATTGATAGTCCTTACGATAATCACGGATAATACCCATGGTATTGTTTGTATACTCTCAAGGTTCCCATGTAGCCTTAATATTACATAAGTAGGAAAGGCAAATTTCTTGAAATTGTAGAATTTGACAATTGTATTTGTGTAGTTCTTTGCCCTCTAAAAAAAAATGTCTAAAATCAGGGAGCCTGCTTAGAAAGCATATTCTCTCAATGTCATCTTATTAGTAACTCTGTAACTCCCTTCTTCACATCACTGATGTTCCAGGGTTTGTCCACAGATATCCATTTTTGTTATTATTTTTAATTATTAAGGAGATTAGCCAAAATCAGAGCAAATCAATTAAGGAACCACAGATAAACATTTTCAGAGGGATTGTTCAAAGAGCCCCACTATGTACCCAAAGGAGGACTTATTCAAAGTTACTAAAAGCAACATACATCCATCAAGGGATTTCTTTAATTTAATATTGTACTTAATTATTTGTTTGTTTCTTTGTTCCCCCCTTTCTTCTTTCCCAAGTCCCAGCCATCCCTTTTCTACCCTCAGCTCCTCAGTTTCTTTTCACAGCAGCACAGGCCTCACATGGAAGTCAACAAAAAAGGGTACATCAAGTCGAAGGCTAGATATGGCTGCCAAGAATGAGGATTAGTGTCCCAAAGCTGGCAATAGTCAGAGTCAGCCATTTTTCCCACTGTTAATAGTCCCAAAAGAAGACCAAGCTGCAAACTATAAAATATAAACAAAGGCCTAGGTAAGTCCCATGCAGGGGCCTGGTTGTCTGTTCATTCTTTGTGAGCTCCTATGAGTTCAGGTTAATTTATTCTGTGGGTTTTCCTGTTGTGTCCATCTGAGGGTTTCTAAGCATCCCATAAAGTCTTTCATCTCCCACACTTATTAATTTAATATAGTAGAGCAGAGCTGTGGACACACAGATTGACCGAGACTGTTTCCCCTATTCTAGCATCCTTTCAAGAATCAGCTACGACTCTGCCTACCACTGCTGTGGAGGTTCCCTCATCCACCTCATCAATGACCAATGGGGGTGACTGCATCTCATTGAAACAAGGCCTAAGTAATGGTTTCCTAACTGCATTGCCCAAAGAGCGGGGCATCTTTACTTTCATGAGAATAAATTTTTTTTTTGACACCTGAGGATCTCCTATTGCCAAGAACTCTAAAAAGAGTTGACATAAGAATCCAAGAAGTGGAAAATACAGGTGTGTTTGCTCAGTAACGGTCAATGACATCACACTTCCACTTCACCAAGCAGAGTTCTCCTCCTTAGACATATAAAAGCATGCCCCTCTTCAGACCCCACTACCTTCTGCCACCATGAATCCACTCCTGATGCTGGCGCTTGTGGGAGCTGCTGGTGAGTCATGCCATGCCCAGTCCTGCTTTTCTATTTAATTAAAAAAACATGGACCCCTCCTTCAATGCCTTCCCTACTACATTAATTCTCCACAATTTTACTTGACGTTTTGTAATTTGTCAAGCTTCAGGACAAGCTTGATTCACTCACTAAAACATCCTTTATTGAATTTAGAGCCTTGATTACCTAGACTGAAATAAAAAGCAAAACTGAAGGAGCATAGCATGAACCAGGACTCATATTCTTCAGCATCAACCACACTAGGAATCCTACAACATAGTAATTGATGAATTACAGAGGGAAGCAAGCGATGGGTTAGGTGACTGACATGCAATCAGATCCCATGAAGTGTGTTTATGTCAATGTTCTATCCTTTTACTCGAACTATGAAGAGTTCTGAGCCCACTAAGATCTACATACCTGTCCTACATTCGTTTACCCTGGCAGGTATTGAATCCTAGTGCTGACTCCTGGGGAGAGTGATTTCCCTGATTTCTTTCAGTCATTCTGCTCAGAAAGTAATATTGAAACGGTGGAAGGTACTAAGCAAAGCAACCTCCAACATCATGATGAGTTTGCTTCTACTTCCTGTCTCCTCCATAGTTGCTGTCCTGGCTGATTCTCTAAAGAGAAACATCCCACAGGAACAAACAAATAATAGATTGAAAAATAAAGCAGTCCATGTTCAAAACTTGATTCTAATATGATCAAGTTGCTAAGTGTTTTCTTAAGTCATTCTTGCTGTCCTAACTCTGATGCTTAGAAGTTATCGCAGCCCTGTGACAATGGCCTATCTTTCCTATGGAGCCAAATACTAGGAAACCCAACAATCTATGTTACATATTGGAAACAGAGGGATCTCCACTTTCCTGCATTCATTGTGCTCAGTAGGAAATCCAAGGTTGAAGCTGCCATCGAGCCAATGGCCTTACCATCTAGTATGCTAATGACTTGGCTGGTTCTCATCTCCTATCTCCACTCTAGTTGCCCTTCCTGTTGATGATGGTGACAAGATTGTTGGAGGCTACACCTGTCAGAAGAACTCCATTCCATACCAGGTGTCCCTGAACTCTGGCTACCACTTCTGTGGAGGCTCCCTCATCAATGAGCAATGGGTGGTGACTGCAGCTCATTGCTACAAGACGTAAGTGATGGTTTCTTGATTGCGTTGCTCACAGAGTGGGGCATCTTTACACCAGGCATCTCTATGAGCCAGTGAGGAAGATGTGGAGGAAGGGGAAAGATGGGGAAGAAAGATGGAGTGAACAGCACTGGATGCTCACAGTCTTTAAATAAACACCAATACATAATAGGATATAATAGGATGCTTCAGCAATGCACACACACACACACACACACACACACACACACACACACACACACACACACACACACACAGAGAGAGAGAGAGAGAGAGAGAGAGAGAGAGAGAG